CATTTATTCACAATATGTTATACAATAATTTGTGCATTCAGATAAAAAAAAAGTAAGATTCATATGCAGCATTTTCGCTATAATCAAGTACTTTACATATTTAATTATATTCAGAAGTTATCCAAAAAATTATAGTAAATTACAGTACAGTGTATAAATTACATATGAAAATTTCAAATTTATTTTTCTGTGAATGTCTGAAAGATATAAAATGATTTTGCCATACATTAATAGAGATATCATGTTACCACATATTTCAAGCTCAGCGAAATAAAATCCTTTGATAAAATTATCTATAATATTCTCTTTATACATTTTAAATGTTTTTTCTCTGTATATTATGTAAAATATGTTTAAATAAGTACAAGAGCAGGATCCTGCCACTTACAAATTTAGTCTGGTTACCCAACAGACACATCCTGGTTTAAGTTCACGCAGCATGACCGCACGTCCCAAATTTTCCTTGATCTCGGCAAGACACATTTGCGATTCCGCTTCGAGTTCGTCCGCGTAAGGTAAAAATTTATTGTATACCAATTCATTTTGCGGACGAAATTTTGAATCTGTCTTGGACGATGTCGTTGACATTGTTGAATCGTTTTCCGTATCACCATCGCTCTCGTTAAGCATGATCTCGTTAGTGCGTATTTAACACTTGACAGCGAACAATAAGAGTCGACCTACTAAAATCAAGTCTGACGAGAAGCAGTATGATGAAGTAATATGCACGCAGATGAATCAACAACTTGCTTGCCCCCATTCATTTTCATCGAGTCATGTTTCGCGTCTAAGAAGCCATTTGTAATTTGAACGAGCTAAATTGTAGATTAATAAAGATATGTTCCGAAATGTGCCGACAACAAAATCAGATAATGTTGTTGTCTTTCTATTGGTTGACTTAAGAGATCTGTTCTTTTTAGATCTTATATATCTGGGGCTTCTTGAAACATATTACCAAAGTTGGATAAATTACAATCATAATCGATTATTCTTTTCATATTCGATTATAATTGGTCACTTTCTTATTTCTTAAAGATTAAATCATCTATTGTGGACCGACACTAACAACTGCTCAAGGCTGGCGTCCTATGTCGCGGAAATCATTAATGGAATAGAACGTGTGAGCTAATCACGAAAAGAATGGACGCGTTTTCTTTTGGTTCTTTCGCTGATTGATTCGCGCGTTTTATTCCGCTGTGGATTTTCGCGCCATCCTAAATTTATTAGATAAATCACGCGACATCGCTAGCGTTTTATGTGTTGTTTCTATGTGTTCGTATATTAGCTGCGTTCAGCAGAAAAAGCAGATCAGTGAGCGTTCGGTGATTTTTCAATATGATTGGTCCTTGCTTTTAGATCTTCGTTGAATCTAAGTGTAAAAACCAATCATAATAAAGAATCAACGCTCTGCAACTGATCTGCTTTCTCTGCTGAACGCAGCCAATGTGTCCGAAGCATGTGTACGCAATTTAAAAATAACAAATTATTATCCAGTTGATCACATATTTTGTCTGTTAATATTATCGTTAGTATTATTCATAATTTTTTAAGATACAAAATAAATGTTAATGATAACAATTCTAAAGTATTTAATATACGAAAGTTTCTAACCTTTCTTCTGTTGAAAGATTATGCACTGGCTGCTATTCGCAATTTGCATTTATATTAATATAATAATGTATCTAAGGTAACATTTCACGTTCGCGACAAGTTAAAAAAGCTTATAAATAATTTTATTGGTTTATATATTTTATTTAGTTTATCTATTAAACTGGCATTTAAATTTTTTAAAACAAGATCTTTTTTTAATTTTCTTAAGAAATGATATTTTATATAGATAGATATAATTAATGTTTTACAGAACAAGTTTTGCTGCAACATAATTTATTTATCAGTAGGATGAACGGAACTTTGAGAGGATTTCTGCGATTATATCCAATAGTACGCAATTGGACAGTCTTGTCAAATAATATAATATCATTGCAATCAATATGCAAAGTGTCAAGACATTATAGTACTAATTTAATAGGTAATATATATTGAATATTTTTACATATAGTTATAAGCATTTAATTTTAATAAAAAATATATGTTTTTTAGATCATACACAATTGGAAGATTGTATATCTCCAATAGACAATGTAAAAAACCAAGTATCTATTGATACTAAAATATATCCTATAGAAATATTGAATAAAGCAGCAAGAAATTATACAAGCATGACTCTATGTGAAGCTATTGACACAATATATGTGTTATTTACAGCTACTAAGAACGTAGAGGAAAATCTGCAAGAAACAATCAAAACACATATAGGTTTTGTACGTTTGTGGGGAGTGTTGAACAAAAATGTTAGGTTTATGAAAACAATTCAAATTATTAAGAGTTTGAGAATGGCAATATATTTTAAGCTACCAAACAATTGCATTCTATTTCAATCATTACTGCAAATGATACGTGTGAATGTAAATGAAATATCTCCTCAGGATATAATCAGCATAGTTGTGTTATTAAGAAAAATGGATAGTTCACCATTAAGGGACGCTCTATTAATAGCTTTACCTCTAGTATTTGAAGTACAGGCGCCTACGAAATTAGACACCGATAATATTTATGTGCTGACACGATCGTTACGATTTATTAGCGAGACTAATATCAGCAATCTGGAAGTACAAAATGCAATAATCAAGCCATTATTGAAGTTTGAAAATAATCTGGATGTACACATGGCTTCTTCTATCTTTTATAGTTTGTGTGTTGCAAATTATCTATCTCCAATAGCTCTCGAATTGTTATTTAATGTACAGAAAATTTTAATAAGTGAAATAAAACAATTAAATATCTCGGAAATAATGACAACGATCAATAAACTATCGTTTGCCGTCACAAAACAGTATGTATTTTTAGTTTTTATATTCTATATTAATATTTAGCATGAAAAATGAGATATTGATAATGTGTATATGTTGATATTATTGTTGTAGCAAAGAATATCGATGCAAGTTTTATAATGAAGCATTAATGGATGCTTTAATCAATGCAGCATTGTCTGCAGAGATTTATTTTAATAATGGTATCAATTTGTTGAAACTTATGAATGAGTTTAATTATGCACATATACCCTTCCTAGAATATTTAGCAGCAAAATGCTTTGAGCAGCCAAATCTGCTGAAAGGTGCATCATATTTCAAAATATCCATTTTCTTAGAAGGATTAATTAATGCTGATTATAAACCAGTATTTTGGGATACTATACGAGACGCGATATTGGCGAATAAAGTAGAAGACAAAATTTTTAATAACTCTATGATCAAATTTACTCTGCATTTGATTGCATTAGATTGTTATAGCCCGAATTTAATCAGCAAAGTCTTTTCGCAAGTTTCAATGACTGAAACAAGGAAGGATATTCATATGAGAGAGTTACTACTTTTATATCAAAGTGTTAAGACATTGTATCCTATGTATAATGGATCATGGCCGTCACAAGATATACTTGATTATGCTGTAAATATACATAAAACATTACTTAATCCGATATTTCCTACATCTTCCTTAAAGTCAGTATTGGAATTGGCATTGGGTGGCCCTCAATATGTTCACAATGATTTGAGGACAAAACTTGGACATTATATTGGTAAGTTATCAAAGGGCAAATTGGTTCCTTTTATTGTTATTAAAAAACATCTTTGCTTATTAAGTTAAAATCATTTGGGCTAATTTATATAACATAATTTAACAATTAACTTGTTTATCTTTAATAATCTGTTATATTAAAAAAATAATTTAGCGCACTTTTTTCAACTGCAGTTTGCAAATTGAAATCTATCTAAATTTATCTAAATTTCATTTTGTAAATATTTATACTTAAATATTTTGTTTTAGATCACGTTATTGTAATGAGGAAGGGTGGATATCCCATTGCGATTAATACAATTACATCCACTGGAAATAATATAATGTATGTTGAAGATATACAAACTCCAAGCGAAAGTCAAATGTAAGAACACATTTAACATATTAAAATTGATTTTATATAATTCATCTATTGTTTATTATATAAGTTCATCTATTGTTAATTGTTGATTTTTGGTTTTAGGATACTTATTTTCAATTTGCCTGATACAGCATATGCAATTAATTCTCAAAGATTAAAAAGTACATGGTCATTAAAGATAAAGTCCGTAGAAGCATTAGTAAAGACTGAGACAATTGCTATAAATTCTAATTCTTGGATAAAGCTACCTGAATATGAAAGGCTTCCTTATTTGATGCGAGCTATAAGATTAAAATGTGGAGATGATTCATTCTTAGCGAGATAAAACATGTTGTAATCGATTTAAAAAATATTTCATATAGAATTCTGTATTGTATAAACAATTGAAACATGTAATAAAATAATTCGTTATTTGGAAAAAATGGAGAAATAAACATGAAATATATAGATAAAACATTTTATATTTAAGTGTATTACTAAAAATTATAAAGAAAGATAAGTATTTTGCAGTATTTACAATTATTGGCTGCTATTTATTTTAATTATATTTTAATTATAAACTTGCAATATAAGAAATATATACCTTAAAAAATAGAAATATTGTACATATCTAATTAGATAATTGATATAAATTGATTTCGATTTATTATAAATTGATACGATTTTAAATACGATTTTTTTTCTCTTTAGAATCGATTGAGAAAAGGGATATATATTTGACAAGTACATATATAATTCATCTATATAACAATTTATTCATATGAAAATATTTATAATATATTAACAATGAAATGTATAATACTGGATTCTATGTCCCATCTATTTGTATATGTATATATACATGTATTATACAATTGACTTCCTATATTCTAAAACATTAACTGTCTTCTATAATTCTTCTTGTGCTGCTTTGCCACTATTGCATATTCTTATATCATTTTTTCGTAGATTTTTATCTTCACTGGGATAAAGTACGATATTTGATAATATAGATATTTAAATATAGATGTTATGGTTATATTTGATTACTTCTTAATTAAACTTCAACTGTATTAATATTCATAATAGATTCATAATAGATTTCAAATATAAAAATTATTTTTTTTTTAATTTTAAACTAGAGTAATTTCCTTGACAATGATTGATGACTTATTGAAGTGAGAGAGCGAGCGAAAAGACAGCGCCATTTCATTTTTATAGC